AAAAAAAATAAGTAAACCTAATGATCTCCCCCCTAAAAATAATTTAAAAAATTTTTTTAAATGATAGAATAAAAAGTCCCAATACCCATCCCTGGGACATCACTCCCCAAGTCAGGGAAGCTACTTTTATTTTCTTGTGGATTCTTTCAGTATTTCTTTATGCAAATGTAAGTAAATACAAATATATATTCTTATTTTCTACTTGTTATTACCCAAGAGAGCATAATATATGTGTACATTAGTCTCAAATTTTTAAAATGTAATTTTTTGACTTAACTTTTTTACCACTATGTGGTATATTCCATGGTGTAGATGTACCCTAGTTTATTTAACTGGTCCTTCTTGTTTTACACTTAAAATTTTCTCTAGTCTTTTGTTTTTATAGATGGTACTATGTTGACTAACCACATACATGTGTTGTTTTGAATGTGTGAAAGCACATTGCTGGATTTGCTGAGTTAAAGGTAAGTGCATTTGTAATTTTGAAAGAAATGCTGGTCTCCCTTCCATGGAGGCTGTTCCATTGTGCACTCCCACGAGCAGTGCTCGAGACTGCCTATTCCCCTACGCTAAGTCAGCAGAGCCTGCTGCCTGACATTTTTAATGTTTGCCATCCTGGTAGGTGAGAAGTGGTATCTTTCTGTGGATTCCATTTTCAAGCACTGTTTTCACCAAAATGTAATATGAAACAAAAACAGCAGGCATTGTATGGAAAAACCTAAATGATTTTCTATAACTATGTTTATGACAGCCATCAAGTAAATAATCACTAAAACATATACCAGCCCTGAACCACGGTTTATTATCTCCTTTGCTCCTTTCCTCCAACTCCAGGGCAGTGGGCTGGGCACAAGTAACCCAGTGATGTGAGTGCCTGTAAGTGGCTGATTTCAAAGCTTGCTTTAGAGTGATTTTCATAAGAATAATTCTCATTTTCACCAAAAACTAAAATTAAGGGGAAATATTTCCAAACACAGTTATTAAAAAAAAAAGAAAATTGAAATGTTAAAACTTCTCCCCATTCTAAAAATGTACTCACCACTGCATCCTGCTAAATACACATAAATACCGACATCTCCATATTCTTTTACAATCTGTAATAATGTTGAAATAAAGTTTAGTTTCTCTTGACTGTGACTGCAAGTTTCTTTCTACCAACATGTATTTAGTGATACAAGATGCTCTTCATTCACTTGAGCTACTTTGCTTCAATCATTATGCAGTTTTGAGCTAATCATTTTAAAATAATTTAACATTTCATTTGATTTTTACATCTCAATGAAAATTTGGAACATCAAAGAATTCTTGTTAATTTTATTCAGGTGTAATGAAGGTATCATGGTAATGATTTTTAGAAGAATCTTCTTGGAAGAGATAGGTACTGAAATATTTACAGATGATGTGATGACCAGGATGTGCTTCAAAGTCAGAGAAGGGGAAAGTGGCTGAGGGGGACCAATGAAACAAGACTGACTGTGAAATGATACTCGCTGAAGCTGAGTGGTAGTTACACTGGGGTTCATTACACTATGCTCTTCAGTCTAGTATATTTTTGATATTTTCTGCAATAAAAGTTGAAAAACAACAACAAGAATTTTAACGGTTGAAAATGGACCCTAGTCTACTCACTTCTCTGATTTTACTAACGGCGACACTGGGCACAGAGATGTTATGTGATTTGTTAAAGATGATGCTTACCCCTGCCACAGTTTTTACACCAACGGAATCGATAAAATTGACTTGTGTAAAATCCAGAATGATGGTGTGGACGTTATCCCCCGGCGGCATAAATCTCTGCAGTTCCTCAGGAAATGTGTTCTTGATGACTACTGGGGGATATTTTATTTCGTCCTCCTCTTCCTCAGGCTTGGTTCCATCTGTTCCGTCTACTTCCGCATCCTACGTCAAAAGTCAAACCAAATCCAGAATTCTATGAACAACTCACATTTTGGTTCTGAGAAAGATTTATAAGGGAAAAATTAGTCCTTATATTCTGAAGCTTCTGATTATACCACATTGCTTCCAAAATAATTGCTATATCTCAGCCTATTAACATGACAAAAAAGGAATATACACAAGATTCAATTGTAGCTATTTCTTTTATTCCTCCTTTTTTTAAAAATTTTTTGAGGTCCAATGAAATCTACTCTCCTTCATTATCATATCCATTTTCCCCTAACTTCTAAAATATTTCCCTTGATTTCAACATAACAGATCAGTTACCAGAAGCTTGAACGGCAAAAACCTGTCTTTGGGTTTTTTTTGTTTTTTTTTACTATCAGCTGGATGAATCTCAGCAAAGTAATAATGGTAAAATGGTAAAATTAATTAAGGTAGTGTGTGATTTTTATTTTTTAAAATCATGTTTTCCTGGGCTCATATCACTACTTATTTCAGAAGCATTCTCATATCCGACCATATCATGTATGTTTAATATAGGATGGATATTTAGCTTGTTTCTAAGCTTTCCTACTTTAGGGACTTCCTGCTGTGTTAAAACTTCAATCATGAATAAGAGGGGGGCGGGGCTACAGGTCAAGAGACACGGGAAAGTTACAGTGAAGGCATCGCTCACCACTTTGATGACGGTTGCGTTGGCCATGTTGGCGTTTCCAACTTCCTTAGCATACTTCTTCATGGCCTTTCTTCTTGCTCCCATTATGAAGGCTGGGTTCACTCCAGTCTTTACAGAAGAGCAATATACGCAAAAATCACTTCTTGGCTTCCAGGAAACCACCCAAATGCAATTCATCTTCCAATCTTCCCTTTTGACTGTTTTCTATGCCAGGTTATCACCCCAACCTTTGCTTTATCTTTCTCTCAGATGCCCCAAACTGGGTTACTCCCTCAGTAAAAGAACATTAGTAACCTTTCTTATTCTTGGTCTTGATTCAACATAACCAGAAGCTAAGTACTGAAAAGAATTTTAAAGTAGTGTTTTTCAAACTTAGATTTCTCAGATTCTTATATTTAAGAGACTCTATGGGTTGATTGGGAGGTTTTCCTATATACTAAGCCATGCGGGGTTGAGTCTAATCGTGACCAAAGGAACCCATGTGATCCTAAGAATAAGAAACGCAAAATTATTTTTTCCCTTTTTTTCTTAAATATTTTTTAAAAGGTTACTATATGCACATGACAAAAGAGAATGAGTAGTAATGCAGGTTGCAGAACAATGTGAATGGACTTAAATCCATCCACTGAACTGTACAGTTGCAAATGATTAAAATGATACATTTTAAGTTGTGTATACTTTACCACAATTATAAAAAAATAGAGGAAGAGAATGAAATAGTATAAAAGGTACACTAAGACATTTAAGTGACCCTCATATGCCTATCAACCCACAGACTTCCTCCTCAGAAATAATCACTTTTGATTTCTTGTGACTCACCTTTCTTTTTAATGCATTGCTGTACAAGTCACTATTTGCATAATAAATTGGGGCATTTATTTGGAATATTTTTATTCCAGGAATTTCCTTCACCTGAGAAATAAAATGTTAGTGAATCAAACACGCGAGACTATTTCAGAATCAAAACTTCAATAGCCTCCCTCCTCCAACCTGAACATTCATTAGGAAGTTGCTAAGAGCCCCAGACAGTGTTTAGATAAAATAACGTCACTCTCACTGACCTAGTCATGCTCTGGAGGAAGCAGCAGAGAGAAAAGCCTTTAAAAATGAACGTCCTCCACTTCTTTTAAAAGTCTGTTTCATTTTTTACCATAAAATACAAAGAAGAAACTGAAAAATATTAAAAAGAAAAAGAGAGAAATGGATAGGAGAAAGGAGGCTGCCACTCAGACTGTGAGAAGCAGGCAAAGTGAACAAAGGTTTATACTGGTTGATTCACATACAGAAATGTAGGCAGGAGGCCCCACATGAAACAGTGAAAATTTTACCAAGAAGACTCATGGAATTCTAGAATGTAGTTTGGAAACAAGTAATCCAGCACATAATTCTTTGGAAAGAAGGAAAAAAGATCACACCTCACACCAGTCTAATTTCTTAGTATCTTTTAGTGAGGCTGAGCATTTATCTTCCCAAGCATAAAGCAAAAACAAAGCTAGTTTCAGAAGACTCCGTAAAAGATTCCACATAAGGAAATAACATTCAAAATCAAGGATATTTTAAGCCATAATTTCAATCATTAGAAATCAAAGCAGGAAAAAAAACAAAGCAGGAGAATTTCATAGCCCCACCAGCTACATTTTACATGGTTAATATTAGTATTTTTCCATCAGTTTAAATTCATCACAAGAAAATTACGCACATACAGACCATCCTCACAGTCTCAATATTTTGTAAGTATATATGTTAAGCACAAGAATATATACTTATCCTCATTTTAAAAAGAAGAAAAATTAACATGAGGAGGCTGAGTAACTGATGTATAGTATAAACTACAAAACAGAATCCAGACAATAAACTAAGTTCAGGCTGTCTGCTTTGACCACTGCCCCTCCCTCCTCTTCACCCCACCCACTTTGTCCTACTTACTTAGCCAATCACATCACACGCTTACAACTGTTTAAAATGACAGAAAAAGATCCTACCTCCTCATAGGCATCTATGTCAATATACACATCAGTGTCAGGAAGCTGTCCAAGGACTTTGTAGCTCGGGCTGAAGACAGAGTGAGTGTTAAAATACCATCCTGCTGACAGAAACATGAGGTTCTGCACATTTACATGTCCTGCGTGGGTTTGCTAGTGAATTCAGGGATACTCAGTCCTTTTATGGTGCATTTTCAGAAGGGCTCCACGTAACTCACATTCCCCGTGCCATTACAAGCCTTACACCCTCACCCCACCTCATACATACCCAACAGACACACACAGTACATACACCTCAGACCACACAGATCACACATCCCACACACCTGACCCATACCACACACACCATCTGGTCAGGACACAAGACTCAGGTATTTAAAGATGGGACAAAAATGAACTGTGCCAACTTCAAGCCATGCCAGGGACATGTGTAAGTCATCTTCATGTCCCTCAGCAGGTAGAGTTGTATTCCTGCTCTAATTCTAAAGTAGGAGGGGAGATTTTCATTTTGTCTCTAATAAGAGTCTTGAAATCATGGAGGGGCAGTAGTCAACGGAAGGTGTTGGGAGAAAACAAAATTCTCAAATCAGCAGAGTATTCTTAAGTTTGGTGTGAATAGATTTTAAACATTATTTTTTGAGAGCACAAATTGCTAACTCCTTTTATAGGACAGTCTGGCTCAAATTAGACACTGTAATGATGACAAGTGCTACTTCTTAAGCACTTGGTATTACCTTATTATACTGCATGAAAATCCCACTGGCCTTATTTCTGCCATCGTGCAGATGAGTAACTGAGGCCCAGTGGGGTTAGGTGAGTTGTTCAAGGTCAGCGAGCTTAGCAGAGCCAGAATATGGCTCCAGGTCTTTGCTTCGACAATCCATGGTCTTGCTACTCTGCCCTGGGGCCTCTCAGTGTATAGGTGCAAGTGCCTTGTGAGTTAGAATCTATAGCACGAACGTCAGCTGTTTATTCTGGAGGATTCCCTCGACGAGACTCCAGAGAACACACACAGTGGATGGTCCTGGACTCCAGGGCTCGCCTCCACTATCAAGGTGAGCAGTCTAGTGACGTCTGTCAACAAATAGCAATGACTGATGTTGTAGATAAAAGGCTCAGTTGAGTCCTTGATTATGAGAAAACCTTCTAAAGAGACTAAAAATACTGTCCACATGTTACAATCTAGTGCCGGGGGGCGGGGGAAGGGAGGTGGTAGACACACGGACCACAGGAGTCCACAAGTAACTGGGAGATACGAGGTGCTGGACAACCATGGTGTGGCAGTGGGGGCACCAGGGAAGGTGAGATCTTTTTGGTTGGGGGAGTGTGGTCTCAAAGTATGAGGGTTTCAACAGGCAGATGGGGAAAAGGCCGTCCTGACCTCCTGGAGTACACTTCAGCCCCATTTCCTCAGGTCTAAATACTCCTTGTTTCTTTCCAAATCACCCCAGGAGCAAGAAAGTCTCTTTTGATGAACTCTGATGGGGTTTTACTTGGGCTTCTCTTATGCTTATTACCACTTGTGCCTTGCTTATACCTACTGAAGCACTGCTAACTGTGTATTTTAATTTCTTGAAGATGGATTATAAAACGCTGATTAAGAGTTAGCCTCCAGATTCACAAAAACTCGTATTTGAGTCACTGCCTATGCTTACTGTGTGACCTTGGGTAAGTTACTCCATCAGTCTAGGCCTCAGTTTCCCTATCTGTGAAACAGGGATGCTAACAGTCACTGGGACGGAAAGAAGAAGTGACATGGAGGGCGGATCTCTGCACAGAGCCAGGCACATAACTAACTACAATCACTCAGTGCCACCACTATTTCATTATCATGATAGCATCATCTCATCATCATCAGGTCCTGTCATCCTCAGGAGAATGCAAAGGACCAGTCTTTACAGCAATGTCCCTAGAGTCTAGCACCTCCTTGGGAACACAGCAGTCCCGCAAAAAAATCTGTCCAATTAAGATTATAATTATCTTAACATTGTAATATATTTTCCCCACTTTGGGAGCATAAGCTGAATTTCTGTCACCTTTACAGTGTTACCCACAGCGCCTGCATGGAGGAGGCATCAAGGACTGTCTACTGATGAACTGATTGTCCCTCAACCGTGTGGGTTTGGAGGGAACCTGGGAGTTGGGAAGACGAGCAAAGCCAGTGAAGCACCAGCCTCCTCTGGACAGTGTGTCCTAATTACAAGGAAAGCAGTGAAAATAAACAAGAAGCCCGGGTGCTGGTTCCCCAGACTCTAACCTACAAGGATCCAGCACAGTCACCACCAAGGGACAGGACATAAAAAATAAGCTTTAATTAATTATTTGGCAGAGAAAAAAGAAGTAGAGCAGAAGAAAAAGAAACCCTGCCTAACTTTAAAATTTATGGTAAGAAATCACAAAATTCTATTTGGTTTAAAAAAAAAGTGGAAAAAACCCTCAAATTCTCTACCATGGCTTGTTAAAGACTATAGATATTTTAAAAGCATGATGTTCACCAAAGCTCTGAGATAATGAACTCTTGCATGTACTAATAATGTTCTTTATAAAAACGAGGGGAACTTTTTTTAACATAAAAATGGGCAACAGTGTAGAGTTCGTTATTAAAAATAGTATAATTCTTGAGCTTAATAGATTTATTTATTTATTTTCATTTTATTTCTTTTTTGAAGAGGGGTAGGTAATTAGGTATATTTATTTACTTTTTTTTTTAATTGGAGGTACTGGGGATTGAACCTAGTACCCTGTGCATGGTAAGCATGTGCTCTACCACTGAGCTATGCCCTCTCCCCTAATTCTTGAGCTTAGATTCCACATGTTGTCAATATTTCTCTCTAGGTCATTTTTGACAAGGAAAATGCTCATTTCCTGCTCTGAAGAGTGGGAAGCACTGTTCTGCAGATAAAGGTTAACATCTCCATCCAGCAGCCTTTCAACATATCACATTCAAAACTTTAAGAACTATCACATCACTGGAATTTGACACAACATTGTAAAATGAGTATAAATCAGTAAAAAATGTTAAAAAAAAAAGAACTATCACATGATTTGCAACTATAGGCAAAAATTAGACTAACTGCCTTTCCAGTTCCCTCGTGTTAAATTTGTTGGGTGCACAGTGTGTATCAGTCCCTGTGCTAAGCATTTCATGATCATTAGTCTCATTTGAACCTTACTGTGACTCTCTGAGGCAGCAAGTGTTAGTCCCATTTTACAGAGGCAGAGACTGAAGTTCCAAGAGGTCACATAAAATCACAGAGCTTACAGAGGGTGCAGCTAGGTGTTGAACCCAGGGTTCAAGCCTCTAAAGTCAGGCTGTTTTTTTTTTTTTTTTTTTTTTTTTTACATTTCAGTCAATTCTTCCTATACAATGGTTATGCTACATATTTTCTGAGTGATGCTTTTCTATTTTCTATTTTTATTTTATTTATTCATTTTTATTCTGGTGGGGGTGGGTAATTAGGTTTTATTTACTTATTTATTTCTTAGTGGAGGTACTGGCGATTGAACCCAAGATGTCGTGCATGCTAAGCAGGCACTCTACCACTGAGCTCTACCCTCCCTAAAGTCAGGCTATTACTATAGAAACATAGTGTTTCCTTTGCGGTCTTTATAGTGATATATTTATTTATCATGAACACAGTATTTTTTAAAAAGTTATTTTATACCTTCCCCAGGAGGCTCAGCTTCCTACTAGAAGAAGAGATGACAGGAGGTAATGGCTCAGGGTAAAGGAAAGGACAACTGAAGCCTCGCACATGATCACTTGGAGTCAGAGTCGGCTCCATGTCAGCAAAACTCATGTCAGCACTGGTGCCAAAGCAAACTGCAAGAACTCACAGTTCATTCTAATGAGGGTAAATAAGCCAGGGACCCACTGTGGCTTGAATGGCAGGAACCATGACAGAAATCAGGTTCTTTGAGGAAAATAACTGATGGAATTACAAACTGTGATATAGTAGAGCATCTGGCAACATCATATTGAGTTTTTTTTTTTATGGAGGTACTGGGGATTGAACCCAGGACCTCATGCATGCTAAGCAAGCACTCTACCACTGAGCTATATACCCTCCTCTGCATACTGAGTTTTTTTATTTGGCATTTTGGTTATTTAGTCAACAGGTCCCACAAGTCCTCAGCTCCCTCTCATGCTGATAGGGAGTAACCAAAGAGCTTACTTTGACCAGGTCAGCCTTGGTCTACTTTAAAGTCAGTGCTATGATCTCAGGCAGAACACAAATCCCCACCCAACTGTGCACTCACCTCTGTGTTCTGTAAATCACGGTCAGCAGCGCAATGATCACAGCCGTAATCAAACCATAGTCCAATCCCAGGAACAGGGAGGAAACAAAAGTGGTAAGCCAGATGGTCTAAACAAAAGACACAGAGCTTTATGTAGAACCACATGGACAATGTTCTAAGAGTTACACACACACACATACGTACAGAGTACCTAACCTTGCCTAACTGGATACTGCATATAACAGTAACTTACCTTTCTCATGTTTTTATTAGCAACAACTCATTTGTTGCTATGACATAGTCAGCTGACGATCACGTTTGTTACTTACCAGCTCTATTTTGCTGGTTCTCCAGAAAAAGGGGAGATCTGAGAATTGCATAAACATTCCTTTCAGGTTGACGATCACAATGGCCGACAGCACAGCCTGAAACACAGCACATCCACGCATGCCTCTCCTCCTGTGTCCAAAGACTCCCTCTGCTGGCTCCTCACTGTCCTGCTGCCCTCCCCACGTCCTCTCCCCACTCACTTCCTACGCGGCAGTGATGGTACATCTAGAGCCAAGTACACCTGACTTTTCAGGACCCGGTTAGTTAAAATGGGCCTTGGAAAACCAGGCTTATATCCTAGTAGGAAACCTGCTTGGTGGTCAAGAGGTTCAGAGTTAACTCGGTACTCAAGGAATGATTTCACCTCTGGTTTTCCTACAGTATGACTTTTCTCTGCTCTGTATGGTTCCTGAGCTCTACTAGATTCAGTGCATCAGTAAACAAATGTCTCATGAGTGTAGGTCATCTCAAATTTTTAAAGTAAGTATAAAGTCACAGAAGTTCAAAGAGAGAAGGGACCTTGGAGATTAGCCAGTCCAAACCCCTCACTTTGCAGGTAAGGAAACTGAGAACCAGAGATACTGAGATGGCTTTCCCTAGGTCCCAGGTGCTGGCAGATTGTGCAGTAGGATATTGATCTGAGACTTGACCGTTTCTCATACCACTTTGCTGGGGTTACAGTAAAAACCCAGAGACAACCACAAAAATAAACAAAGAAACAGAGCATAATCTCCACCCGCAGTAAAACCTCACACCAAGTCCAAGCTACACACCTGGGGTAATGATTCAAAGAGGAATCCAGTGGCTAATATCACCAGCAGAATCATTAGCGAGGCCAAACAACCTGCAAGCTGGATGAAAGAAGACACATGGAAGGGACGTTCAGGAGAGCTGAACAGGAGGTGGGACACAGGCTGGTCTTAGTCTTTTGATAATCACCGTGGTAAGATACGGCTTTGCATAATTCATCCAAACCATCACATAAATCTGTAACTCCTTCCCACTCCCTGAGGTTTTAGTTCTTCTTAGAGCTTTTAAACAGAAGCTGAAATGCTTAAATACTCTGACTGCAATGCCCTTCCCAGGGGTGGGAGAAAGGAGATGTCTGGTTACTGACCCAAGATCCACAAGGGCCAGAAGAGTTCAGACAAGATTTTGCTGTCCAATTGGGGAGCCACTAGCCTCATGTGGCTATTTAAATTTTTTTTAAAAGTAAAATTAAATAAAATCTAAAATTCAGGTCTTGGTTGCACTAGTCACGTTTCAAATGCCCAAGAGTCACATGTGGCTAGCGGCTGCCATATTGGACAGTGCAAATATTGAACATTTCCATCACTGCAGAAACTGCTACTGGACGGTGCTGGTATCCTGCTGGTACTCACTCTCAGGGTGTCATGACAACATCCTATGTCTGAACTTTGAGGTTTACTGGTAGCAGGGAGTGTTGAGTAATTTTTCGATTTGACTGGAGAATATACCCCTTTCCTGTAGATTCAGTTCTTTGTGATTTTCTTCAACCAATCAAGCCTTTCTCTGATTCATATACAGCTCACTGGAGTGTCGGTCTTCAGGCAGAATAGAATCAAGAGATTAAAGTGTATACCCAAATCACCGGTCCTTAGCAACCAGCTGCATACATACCTGTGTCTTCCCGCCAGTTCCCTCCTGGACAAGGCTTCGAGACAAGGAGCATGAAATTGAAAAAGTCTGGAAGAGTGAGCCAATGGAATTGCACAGTCCCAGGGCAATGAGCTCCTTTTCCATGTGGAAACAAAGCACAAAAGAGACCAGTCATTTTTCAGGAAGACAGACCTGATGGCCCATATAATGTATATTTTCAGTAGCACAGGCTGTCTCTTCATTCTCTTTTCAGATAAAAGAATTTGTGTAGCACAAGATCAAAACAGGAATTACTGCATAATCTAAGGTGGGAGAAAAACACTTTGAATCTTAATTGTGTTGGGGATAAATGCTGCACTCACCACCCAGCCCCCTCTTTCTCAAACACACTCTCTACACAATTTTTTTTTAAAGAAAACTGCAGCAAAAGTGACAAGATATTTTTGTTATTTAAGAGAAAGTTATTGGTGGGTAGAACTACTGGCATCTTTTAGATGCCTAGGCTCTTGCTCATCATTGCCTGGTCCTCTCAGGACCAGTGAGTGAGTCCTCTCGGGACCAGTGAGTGAGTCCTGATCTCAGGGCAACCTCCAGTCTTTCTAGTTGGATCACTGTCTCGAATGAATACGGAGCATTAGTCTCCTCTGAGACATACACAGCATGCTAAAGTAGATGTAACCATGCCACAATGACAGCTTGTCATGTTCAGATTAAATACTTTACCTGCAGCTATCTTATATAAGAAGGTGGCAAAGAATATATTACGGAGTTTGAGCGATGAGTCATTAACTCAAAGTTCAATGAAAAAAGTGAAGGCTTCCTGTGATGTAAAAATGGTTCTGGAAAAACATTCAATTCTCAAGCTGTGAGCTGTACAAATAGGGATGGCACCTAGAAGAGTATGGCAAACTGTAAGCCTTAGATTAGAGATTTCACCTCTCTAGCTGGACCCCTGCTGATGAGGTGAGGTAGGATGCCGCACCTCAGTGCTCAGATCATGTAATGCACATAAACCATGAAAAAACTGAAGTGATGAATAAATACATGCTTCAAATACATCCATCATCAAACTAAATTTTTTTCTACCAAGATAGATCCAGTTCTTTTGCCTTCCACAGTAGAGCATGATCGTACTATGAAATATGTGCAGGAAATTAATGACTTTTACCTGATTGCCGTCAACCTGATAGCCATGTTTATTTGCCAGAGTCTTGGCCATCGAGATGGTCACTGAAAATCCAACGATGGCTATGGCGATGGCATCCACGTACACGAGGTGGAAGAGGCTGGTGTCCGGATTGGCTGGAGGCAGCAGCCTGGAAAGGGAAGCTGACTTTAACCCTGGGCATTGTGACCACTGGAAGAACATGTGCAACTAGACGGGAGCATTTTTGGGAAGCATTATTTGCAAATGAGGTGACCAATGCCTGGATATCTGTTCAGCAAAAAGTAGGTCCCTCCTTGACACACAGAGGTTCCTTCCAGGCCCCAGCCCCAGAGTGCAGGCTTTCTATCCGAGGGGTTATCAGCAGAGATCACATGGCGATTTATTTAGAAAAGGAGTAACCTCACACCTCCGGCAGCCCTGTGGCAGGTGTAAGTAAGACTGAGAGCAGGAAGAAGAGAAGGTCAGAGAAGAGCTCAGATGACACAGGACACTCAGACCAAAGACCGAGGTGAGGAGGGCGCTGGACCAGGGCTATCTCAGTGGAGAATTACTACCCAGTGACATGGGTACTCAGTGCTCTCCCTGCTACCTGATGTAAGGACTCTGCTTCTTCCCTGGATCCCTTAAGTGAGTTTCTGACATGAAAAAGGAGCAGCACCAGATTATACTCCTTGAGTCTCACCTGGGAATCTGGAGGGCCCAAAAGTGCAGCTCCTGGAGCTCCCCATTAGGGAACCTAATTGTTGTGGTGCATTCCTGTAGTTTGGCACCTTTGTCCTAAAAGAACAGAATAGGTATTGCCTAGAATGGTACGGGGGGAGGGGCAACAGAGGTCTTCAAACGCACCTGCTCCAGTTCAAGGCACTGGTCTAAATAATAACAACATTAACTGACGCACAATATTATTACTTTTACAATTACAATTGTTTATTAGGTGCTTCCTCTGTGCCCGATCCTGGGCTTATCCATCTCCAACGCACTGTGAGCTCAGGACCACGATAATCCCCATTTCACAGGTGAGGAAAATGAGGCACTGCGGGGTCAAGCAACTTGCCCAAGGTCAAACAGCTTGTCTACTAAGCACAACAAAAACCATGGAGAACCCGCCTCTCCACACCTATTTCTCACACTGTGTCGTATCCCAGTGACAAAGGGCTGTCTCAGGTTGTGGGGTGTGTGGAAGGGAGGGGAGCAAAGGAAAGGAACCTAACATACATTAAGCTTCGATTGTGTGCAACATGCTTGATAGATGTCATCTCATTTGTCCTCACAACGCTTTTAGACAGGCGCCATTATGATCCCAATGTATATGTGAAAAAGTGGATGATTGCAAGATGTTAAGTACTTTGCTGAAGACGGAGCAGGGACTCAAACCCAGGGGGTCTGACTACTGAGCTTATCATGATTCCCCTGCACTTGGCTGCATAAGCATTGACCAGGGTGGGGCGGGCCTCGCAGCACGTTGGGGCCTGAGGAGTAAGCGTATGAGAACTGAATATGAGAAAAGAGCTGCGATGAGTTAAGAGAAGTAAACCAAGAGACATGATACATTGACATGAACGGGATCTTTAACAGCCCACTGTCACTTTCTGGACACTGTACTGTGCGTGCGTGTGTGTGTGTGTGTGTAGGTAAGTGTGGTACTTTGTTTTGAAACACAACCACCGACAATTCCTTCCACATTAGTGTGTGCTGCTCCCCATCTAAAGGCTGAATCTGGGCCAGCCTTGTGATGTGCCCTAACCGACAGAAGGTGGTGGAAGTGATGTTGTATGAGCCGACAGTGAAGAGTCTGGCTACCCTCCTGGAGCCCAACGTGAGGGAAGATGCCAACCCGCCCGCAGATGCTCCAGCCACTCGGGCTGAGCTGTCAGACAGGTGAGCGAAGCCCTCTTGGCTCCTCTGGCATCAGTCACCCACTCAGACGTCTGCAGCTGCCAGAGACCTCAAGAGAGACAAACGCTCAGCTGAGCCCCACCTACACTGCTGAACCCTGCGCAATCAGGATGTTGTTTTAAGTCGCTGTTACTCGGCAGTCAGACCTACCGCTCGCTCACTGAATTAGCACGGCTGTAGGCAGATGGGCAGTTAGGTAGGCAATATTGGTTGCCTGCTTGGTTTTGGATAAAGTTCCAGAAAGATAAAGTTTCTGGGAAGCCAAGTTTCAAAGAGGTAAAATGTTCCTATTTTTAAAAAAAGTTTAGCTCTCACAATAGAGGGAAAGCAACCTCTTGGGTATAATGCAATAGGAAAAGGAAAAGGAAGGTGTTAGGTCGGAATTATGGTGGTGTGTGGATATTTAAAAGGAGAAATCTAAGTGTGAGAATTCACACTTAAATTATTTGTGATTAGTTACTGAATAGGGTTATCTATTGGATCCAAAGACTCATGTTTATGCCATGACTAAGGTTAGCGACCCAGGGGTGAGGCAACGGAAAGAGCACGTGACCGGGTATCAGAAGACTGAGTTCCGGGTCCCGGCTGGGACTCACCAAACCTCACTCAGGTCTCTCAAATGTCACCTTCTCTGATACCCTACCTCAAACAGCAAGCCAGCCTCTCCTGTCTCTCAGCTGGCTTCCCTTGTCTTCATAGCACAACTCACTACTGATTTATTGTCTGTCTCTCCTAGTAGAATACAAGCTTCAGGAGAGCAAAAGACTCTTTTGCTTGCCTGTTTGTTTTTGTTTTTAACTGCTGTGTCTCTGGCACATAACAGGCACTCAATAAACATATGCTAAATAAATGAGATTAAATGAATCCATCTTCTTGCCTGTTAAATGAAGATAACATAGTCATCAACTGTGTTATTGTGAGGAATGAACTGACACGGTGGGTATAAAAGTAGTTTAAAAATTACAGGTCCAAACAGAAAAGCCAGGTTATTGCTGTGCGACACCTGTACACTGAATCCCAAGTACCATGTTTATGAAAGCAATTCATCATTCTGAAGTCAAGTGCTGGCTTCCTCTTTCAACATTCACTCCCTGTGTTGAACTCTGGCTTAAAGAGCAACTCCTGCTCCCTGTGCCTCCCTGGAGATTCATGTATGTTTCCAGAGGCAAGGCCTGATGGAATATGCCAGGTCCTGTCAACGTCCAACATCTGGGCAAATGTCCGACTCTGCTCTTTTGGAAACAGAGAAGAGGGTGGCGAGAAAGAGACAGTACCAGAGACAGAAAGACAGAGGCACATAGAGAGATACAGAGACAGCCAGAGAGTGTCAGAGAGGAATGGAGAACAGGAGAGGCTCATAGTCACTCTTGCTCCTTCAAATATAAAAATAGTGGACATTTTTAAAAAGTAGAATTAGATAAGAGAAAAACAGATGAAGCAAAGAAGTAATACGTGATTCGAAGCTAGAAAACCCATTGAAATGAGCCACAGAACTTTACATTAACAGGTCTCAACAAGCATGGTGCATGCCAGGTGCCACACTGGTTGCTTTACACGCATCACCTCCGGCAGCTCTCCCAACTGCCCTTGAGAGAGGCATTCACTGTCATGCTTCCCTGGCAGGGGAGGAAATTGAGGCTTGGGGAGGATAAATGACTTGCCCAACATCACAAAGCTAGTAAGTGGCAGGTTACATTTAGGTTTTTTTGCTCTTAATTCCTATGCCACCCAAGAAGAGATCTAAAATACCAACAAATGCTAAACAACAGGAAACAAAATGAAAAACCACATGCCAGTTGGTGGGACTGTAACATGGTGCAACCACTATGGAAGACAGCATGAACGTTCCCCAAAAAGTTAAAATAGAACTATCATATGATCCAGCAACCCCACTTCTATGTATATATCCCAAAGTACTTAAAGCAGGGTCTTGAAGAGATGTTTGCCCATCCGTGCTCACAGCAGCATTATTCACAATAGCTAGGAGGGGAAAGCAACCCAGATGTCCACTGACAGATGAATGGATAAACAAAACGTGGTACACACACACAGTGCAATTTTATTCCATTTTAAAGAGGAAGGAAATCCTGCCACACGCTACAACATGCATGCACCTTGAAGACATTATGCTAAATGAAACAAGCCTGTCCATAAAAACCTCAGTAGTGTCTGATTCCACTTACATGAGGCACTAGAGTAGTCAAGTTCATAGAGACAGAAAGTTGGGACTGGCAGGAGGGAGAATGGAGAGTTACTGTCTAACGATGTAGAATTTTAGATTTGCAAAATGAAAAAGTTCTGGAGATCAGTTTTACAACAGTGTAAATATACTTAACACTACAGAACCATACACATAAAAACGATTAAAATAGGAGATTTTAAGTATTTTTTACCACAATAACCCCCATCCCCACACACACGTTAAAGAAAACCCCAAAAAACCCACCTCCACCCTCCAATTCCTCAGCTATTTGATACATAGGAGAAAAAAGATTTTTTTATTGCAACAATACTAAAGCAGTAGTTAGAAATTATAGATCCATTGATTATTCAAGTCACACTGTTACTTCAAACTGTTTTCCTACCCCAGAGGAAGTGTCCCAACAACATCCACATTGTATGATTCTTTCAAGTTAAACCCAGCTGAAATGCCAGTTCCCATGACCACCTGAAACAGACACAAATCCAAATGGACCTTTAGAGATGAACATTTAAATGCCACAAAAATTAGGTTCAAGGAACTTTTTAGCCAAGCCAAATCTATTTTCACTTTTTCAGTTTTAAAAAGAATTATAGTTAGTTAGCTTCCATCAATTCTAGATTCTCCTAATGACTCTTCCCACAAAATTTAAATGGACCCTAGTTTCCTTGTGGCCTGAAGTTCTTTGCTCTCTACTTTGTTCTGTTCCATCCTGAGGCATCTGGCTAGCTGGCTGCAAATAAAAAGAGCCCATTAAACCTTTGGGGAGTTGGCTTTGCCTGTGGGTAGGTGAAAGGAGGCTCTGGCCAAGATGGCATGAAATCAGGACACTGAAACGTGTATTGTGAGGGCAGGACAATGACAGCATCACATTATAAAATGTCTGTTTGGATCTACATCTTCCTATATCTACATTTGGATCTGACTCTGTCTCCAGGACAGCAGCACCAGGGAGGTTCGAGGTGCTCACCAGCACCCCACAGCTGTCTTCTCCCACTTCTCCCCCCAGGGTCAGGATCAGAGTGAAATCTGCCTGTCACAGAGCATCCTTGTACAGAAGGCTGGCTGGCTTGTTGGGGCATAGATCTAGTCTGTGTGTAAAGTGCAATCCTTAGTGAGCTATAAGAAGAGAAAAATAACAGAAGGAAAGACAGCAACTTTCTTCATCCCAGAGAACTATTGCTTGTAGAACTTTCTGAGGGGGTTATCCAAGACAGAAGGCATGGGGGGGCTAGCCAAGGAGGGGAGCCAGTCCCCCCAGAGGGGGCTGCAGCAGGGACCCAACAAGGACCCAGACAGCAGCCCCAGAGACCAAGGGTGTGGCTGCTTCTGGCCCTTTTGATGAAATGCCCCTTCTTTGTTGGCTGTAATATTTGTCACCCTTAATTGCATTTGCTGTGTATCCCAAACTAGGGGAATGCCCAGAATATTCAAATCCATAGACAGATAAGGCTCAAGTTCCTGGAGCATCAACTTCATGTAATGGTACCTCATTCAAACCACAGCTTTCCTATCAACACAGACAGACGCATTATGAAACAATTTTATGGTAAGAAATTTTACGTTTAAAGAGAGTCATGAAGATTCTGTTTCAAGTTTTCTAGTATGGCTTCTCTCTCCCTTGCTCTGAGGAGCACACAGATAAGAAGTTACAATGACAAAATTCTGGAGAACCACTGCCTTGGAAAGCATGAAGGAAAATTCAAAGGGAATCCGGAAAATGCACAGAACTAGGAACCCAAACCAGCAAAGGTGATTTTCATCATTTACTTCATGATTAGGGCTTGCCTTTTTCCTTTGCCATGCATAGGAGCTGAGAACATTCTGCTGTTCTCCAAAAGGAAAGAGGAACGCTGTGTACAGCCCCGGTGAGAGAAGAGGTTTTGAAACTGAGAGTCCTGTTGGGTGTCGACAAGGCGAAAGCAAGACTGGCTTCCTGGAGAGCTAAACCAGCCAGTGGTTTTTGTGGCTGGAACTTTTGGCTAAATTTGCATCAGACATCTATACCTTTATTTCTTCTTTTGTGGCTCCCAAACTCTAGACCAAAGTGCCCCAGGGTGCCAAGGAGAGCTCCCAGGTCACTGTGGGACAGGACTTTCAAGGGAAACAGGGTGATACCTGTCAGACACCATGCCAACTTCTAATCTGAGGTAGTTCAGTTTCGACATCAGCTTCTACCACATTCCTTCTGATCACAACACATCTTTGCAAAGCCAGGTGTTCAGTGGCTGCTGAACCATGCAGGTAGCATGCAAAAATCCAAGTGAGCAGGAAATGAGGGTAGTGGTGCCCATCTGACTCCAAGCTTCGAGGGGCTGTGAAGTGCCCACCAGCCACACACATTTGCTAATAAATTTGTGTGGGTATTTAAGAATGTAATACAGTATATTTTATTTCAACTTATGTGTCTTTTTTTTTACAAACAGTTCTTAAGTTGTTAGACATAAATATGTATTAAGTTGTTTGGAGCTAACTATGTAACAAATGGAACTACTAGTTACCTATTTCTTTGGGGCTTCAGAGGGCCAGGAACCAAGAAAGTTTGGAAATGTTTGTCTTTTGCTCTTTTCAAAATGGAAACAGTTTACTTTTTCCAGTTTATTAAAGTTACAGTCTCATTATAAAGCAATTAGAAAATAAAAACTTCAAGAAAAATCTCCACCATTTCACTCAGAGATAATTTACATTCACATTTTTATAGACAGTCTTCACCTAGATTTTAAATCATCCATGTCTATGCTTGAATGCTTGTCTTTTTTGTCAGTGTATTTGTGAAAGCTCTTCTTGACAAACCTTCTAAACTTCTCTCGGCAGAACTGAGAAAAATGGTCTACCTTCCCCCTCCCCTGCCCACTTCTAAACCCGTCACAGGAATAGCCAGGAGTATGTGGCCAAAGTTGACTTACCGCAAAGAACTCTAAAGGAATGGGTGCTGGCAATTTCTCTTTAAATCTCTCATTAAACTCCTTGCCACCCAACAGCAAACCAAAAACCATCAGCCCAACGCCTAGGGAACACACGTTGAGGTTTTTAACATTCTGCAACACAGCAACTGTACTCTGTAACACAGTGAACACTAGATGTTACATCAAGCAATAGTCCCCGAACAGACAGAGACAGTCTAGGGCACTAATTCACACCAGCCACCCCATTACTGAGCATTTCCAGCTAAAAGTTCTCAGGCTGAAATCGCTCTCTTTGCAGCTTTCACCAATTAGGAGTCGTTTTTACCCAGTCATACAGCTTTGTTTGTAGTTGTAATTCTTACCCAACAATCTGATACTACAGTGTTCTCTGCTATGTGAATGCCTCAGTGTGGTATTGTAAAATTCAGAAAAGTAACCCTGAAACTGAGTCCTAAGCCTTAGGAAAGAATGAGGAACTGTTATCAGCAAAATAATCCACAGGTAAATACATAGAAAAGCTTTTAAGAGCTAAAAGAGAGAGAAATCACTGTTAGCAGATGAAAGGAATCAGGTGAACTTTGAAGGCAAGAGAATGGCTGATGCCTGGAAAGAAGCCCAGGGGAGTTTTAGGGAAGAAAGCCATTTAATTTCCTTGTAGTGCTGCAGCCACGGCACCCCAAGTGCAGTCGGTACTCATCCAGACCCTGGGAAGGTAGGTTACCACCGAGCCCAGACTGCACGCTTTCTCACCAACGCCTAGAGCACACTCAGCTGTGCTTGTCTGTTTCCTTTGTGACAAGGCGCTGAGAGCAATCTCAAGAGTTAAGAAGCATGTTACCAGCTATTACTGGAAACTTAGAATTTAGCTGAGGGAATATTCCCACAGTTGGACTCCATTCTAATCAATGAAGGACTCAATTTAGCTGTCACTTCCCCAAAGTGACATTCCTAGGCCCCTAAAGGTCTCCCTATTCAACTTTCACAGGAGCCTGACTTTCCCTTCTTAGCACTTAACACAATTTGTAGTTAATTACATAGTTACGTGATTAGGGGTTTACTCTTTGTCTTCCCACTGGATTGTAAACCCAAGAGGGCAGGGGCCGTATCTGCTCACTCAGTGCTCTGCTGAACAGTGTCTGGCTCATCAACACCTACAAAGACCTATCATTCCAAGAACAGCTTTAGCAGCACCTCAGAAGTTCCGCCACGCAGCACTTCCACTGCCGTTGGTTCTAATTATTTCATGATTTCTTCCTTATCCATTTAGAAATGTGTTTTTGGCTTCCACTTTAATGGGGGTTTTAAAGCTATATTTGGTTACTAATTGCAAATTATATTGCATGGTATGAAAACTGAATTTTTAGAATTTGTGCTCAGTTTTATACGACCAGTTTCAACATGATTATTACCATTGTTTCCTGTGTGCTTGTAAATAATTTAGATTTTCACTGAGTTGGGTGGAAGGGTCGATGTCTATTTTATTAAACTAGCTGTGTTAGTTAAATCCTTCACAGACTTGTTTTTTTGCCTGCTTGAGTAAGCAGTTTTTGACAGAGATGTTATCCTGTAATTCCTTCAAATTATTTGTTCGTTCCCAAAAAGAACCTAATTTGGCCTTAAGAAAAAGCTGTGTCTTCAACTAATTCAGGTGAAGGTGTAATTACCAAATAAAGACCTAACAAAAAAATTCCTTGTGAGGTAGACAGTAGCACATATGAATGAAATGAGACTAATTTAATTCCCTTTGTAGCGCTCTTCTCCGAAAAGGCTTAGAATGACTAAATCTTCTCCATTTTATTGAAATTCTTGAAAATAAGCAAAGTGAGCCTCGAAGGTAAAAGAGATACAGGAGAGAAGGGGAAAACAAAAAAGGGAAAACCAGTACCAGCAAGTCGGGAAGTTGCTTACTTACATACACCACCGAAAAGATCCCACTGTACCGCTTTGTTTTAACTCCAAACAGGTATTTCAGCATGGAGGTGAAGACGTGCACAGCTGCGGCGGTGGTGAACCCACGGACCAGTGGCTCGGTGAGATATATGGCCACAAATCCAAACCTACAGACACCTAGGCAAAACTATTTTTTTTAATGACAAAGAAACAAATAAATCACATGGCAGACTGGGAAGTTAAAGCCAACAGGAAACATACAAAAGTTCTTTCTGGGCCACTTTCTAGCACTGCAAACTTGTACCCGCAGCAGGTAAGTAGCTAACAAATCAATCACTGGTTACGCAGAAAACTGGGAGGTCTGGAGTGGCCCAGAGCTCCGCGGAGCACTGGGCAAACCTGTACCCTCCCCGTCCCTCGGAGTAGGCGCTCGCTTCCTGTTCATTCCAAGCAGATAAGAAATGCCCTCTTCCCATTACTAACCAGTCTTGCTCCAAGCTTGTCTTGCTCTTGGAATCTCTAAAGCATCCCAGTGAAGCCTGCTAGTTCCTAATCACTACGAACTTAAGTAAGGCATTGTGTGGGACCAGC